TCCAATGATTCTTTGTAGCTTTCAAAATGAATAGCTGAAAACAATAATTATATCAAACAAAAAACCCTGAAATTAAATTAGAATTTTTTTAAGAACCAAACATGAGCACTATAGTGCTTCCATCTATTCGGAGAAACGTTCTCAGGAAGTTTATTCCACATAAATGCAGTTCTCCAGATGAAATTCTCCAGGTGAAGTTTGGGATGTACTGAGTTGAACCTCTAAACGATAAGCAGCCACAATCCGTCGCGTAATTCTGAAATGTACGTGGTGGAATCAAATGTGCCAAGTCACTTGAACACTACCCGTGAAATAATCTATAGAAGAGAGACAAATCTCCAACATTTCATCGATGTTTCAGGCTATCAAGGTTGCATGTGATGTTCGCGTCTCCAGTCAGATGTATCCAGGCAGATGGCTGATTTCTGAATGGAATCCAGCAACTTTAGGGTATGTTTGGGGGCAGAGCTCTATACAGCTTTATGAAGCATCAAGCATCTGACTCGGAATAGTATTCCAAGCTTTTGAGAAGCAGCCTTTGCAATTCCAGCTACATAAATGTACCAAGACATGTTGGTTTTAACCCCCAACAAACTTATACAAGCAGAAAGCGAATTTGTCTGACCTGACATTATTATATTCATTTTGGAAACATTTATCTTCTTGGAGGAAACCGATGCCTGGATTTTTGTGGCATTGAATTGAACCGGATAACTTTCACTCCAATTCGGAATAACTTCTAGATCCTCATTAAAATAAGCAACCTCCTGCTGCCGGTGGAGATTCCTCCGTAGAAGATGTTCTGGAATCAAAATGAAATGACAAGACTGGTGTGCTGTCGTCAGCAAAGTAATATATTAGATTCTTGTTTTCCAGGAAGTCGGTGATATACAATATGAAGATGGTTGGACACAATATGTATCCCTGGGGAACACCAGGGTATCCATATTCCATAGATATTCGAAAGATGTCATCAACCGACACTTCAGGGTACGCTCTTTCAGCAAACTGAAGAGCCATACGAAAAAAGGATCCGACAAGCCATAGCTTTGAAGTTCGGCCAGCAAACCCTTATGCCACACACGTTCAAAGGCCCTAGAAATATCAAGCGCAACAGCTCTCGATTCTCCATATTTCTTGCTTGTGTTATTCCAAATATGGATGACATACGATAGAAGGTCGCCTGTTGATCTTTGTTTCTGAAAGCCACATTGATAGTTGCTCAAGATATTGAAGCCTTCCAAATATTTGGGGATATGGTGGTTTGAGACTTTCTTCATGATTATTGATATCACTGATAGCAAAACGACTGGTCTATAGTTATTTGGAAGATTTTTCTTGCCCTTTTTGAGAATAGGCAGAACGCAAGCAATCTTCCAACAAAAAGGAAAACCCTTTTCTTCTAAGGCAGGTTGAAAAGTTAGCAAAATACTGGTGTAAGTTCATTTGCGCACTTTCCAAGAACGATGACGGGCACTTCATCAGGGCCAGACGCCTTGTTGATATTGAGCTGTTTGAAAATTCTCATGACTAGACGCTGTCGAAAAGTAATTTTCGGCATTGTGGATTCAAGTGTGGAAATAATATACAAGCAATAGTTGAAAATTGAACAATAAGAAAGAAATAAAAATTGAAAGATTTAAGCTAAGTTACTTCACAACGATTCGATTGCTTGTATCCACAATCGTCTTCAGTCATCACCCCACGACGACTGTGGATACTAACAGTAGAAACGTCGTGAAGTAACTTGGAATGAAATATTTTCATTTCTAGGTTTTTCTGCTTAATCAATCAATCAATCAAATATACTTTATTGTCTGAAGAACTACATCTTGTAGACAAAGTCACAAATAATATGTAAGGTACAAAAATCTACATAAAAAACATACACAATTTAAACAAAATACAATAAACATAAGCTAAAAATGTGAAATACACTGAGATATTCAGCTGGAAATAACAAGACACTGAACACTCTTATGCCAGGTGTGGCATAAGAGTGTTCAGTCCCCATCTATTGCCTCCTCCAATACATCAAGGTGGCGACATAGTGTTGCCGTTGCCGCCTTTTTGTGTTGGAGGTTGCATTGTATTATTTTTACTTTTTTTCCAACGTCCTTGCCCATGAGACAGTTGTTGGATATAAAGTTACCTTTAGAGGTCCATCTGCTCCCCTGCTAAGGGGGAGGTGGCCTTGCTGTTTTTGGATGCCTCCTCCGTCAGGTCATCGAATGTCATCTGTCATAACTCCAACTCCATATCATCGTCTCCGATGATATGGAGTTGGAGTTATTTTGTACAACATATCGCTGTTCTTCTGTAGTAATATTTTTTCTCCAGGTTCCACAAACTGAAAACGACTGTCTTGGCAGCCTCGAAGGAAAACATACCGATATAATTTCTCCAGCCAACAGTGGATCGTTTTTTTTATTACAAACACAGACATACTTTAGTTCTCCTTGCCTTAGCAGATGCAAATTATAAATTTGTTTTATTCGATTTCGGTACAAATGGCAGAGTGTCAGATGGAGGCGTCCTTCAGAACACAGAATTTTTTAG